GAATTGGATAAAATCCATTTTTTTGTCCAATCCATGAGGTCGATCAAATGTCGCTCGTGATTCGTTTGTGAAAATTACTTTATAAAAGTCAATTTTCATGTATTTCTTGGTTAAATTTTGACGCTTTAAATATTTGCTTTCGTGAGAAGAGGCTGCGTAGGAGTTTATTTTACAGATCACAATTTACAAAATGTTCTACACCTTTTGTCCTTCTTGACTCCCCCAATTACAGCCTCTTCAAAGATCTGATCGCTGGTCAAAACTGGTTGTTTCGCTATAACTCGCTTTAGTTTGCGTTCATCTCGAGGAAGTAAGTTCTTAAAGTCTTTTCTTTTGCTTTGAGTTCTCAACTTATATTTTCAACAGCCTTCTTTATTATTTGATGATCTCTGCAAAGCTTCTTTGATATCCTCCAGTATGGACATTCACTCACTCAATAACTTTGTTATTTTCTGTTTTGCAGCAGTTGTTAGATCTTTACCTATCTTTCAACATGTATTATGGACATAAAGAAAAAATAGGTTTTATTAAATTTCAGAGGTTTTAGCTTAATCTGCATTTTAACATCAGTCAGTCCATTGTCGTTAATTGCAAATATCACACAAAAACAAAACAAAACAAAAAAACTAACCACTAAAAATGGCAGAAAATTTAATTAAATATTTTACTATGGGTGGAAATAAACGAGTTTAAATTTGACAAATATTGGTTCAAAACCTTTTAAGTTATTGAAGTTTATTTTACTTTCATAATAACTTTAGACGGGCTGTAAATAGCAACATCCTTTTTTTGGTTTTGCGTTATTTTTATTTTATTTTCAAATATTAGAGTAGTTAGCGTTTCAAACAATATAATACTAATTGCTAAATTAGAAATTTTCTTTAATAAACATATTTCAAATACTACATTCCTTTTCAAAACTTTGCCTTCAAAACAAGGCTGCGTCTTATACAATGGGGGTCTTTTTTTCTGAAAACTACTTTACTCTAACTAAAATGTCATGGTCCCAGTCTTTAGCGGGTATAATTCTTTACGAAACTGATTTAGTTCAAGTCTTAAGAACCGTGCTACGGTAGGAGCCAATAGTTATTTTCTTAGCCGTATTGTACTGAAGTCTCTTCTCTGTCCATTTCTTGAAAAAGTCAAACGTCGCTATTATTTTGGTTTATTTAAAGAGAAATCTCTTTTATCTAATATGTTTTTAGCCATGCATGATTTCATGGATTTCTGGAGAATAAGACCGATTTCTCCTCACTGTTCAAACATTTTCAACTCAGTATGAACGGCAAGCAGATTCAAAAATTAAACTGAGGAAGTTGCAAGAAAACCTGTTCTATATTCGCTACATATAAGCGAAATATCAAACAGATATAGACACATTTAGAAGAGAAAAAAATATTCTGTCTGATACACCTGAAGCAGGCCAGAAAACCAGCTGTTAAAGAAAGAGCAACAATTCGTTAAAAGCCATAGTTTGTGTAAATAAGAAAGAAGGATAAACACAACAACGATAAGGATATTACTTCAAATAACTCCCACAATTCTACAATACTATACGAACAATCCTTGCACCTCGACGTAGAATAATGGTTAGCAAGCTTGTCACATCAAACCTGCGCTTAGAAAATCATGTTTTGCACCTAAAGGCAGTGTAATGGTTAACAAGCTTGTCTCGCTAGAAAAATTGAGACTGAGTAGTGAGTCCGATCCTCACTAGGTGCCCCATTCTTTCGGCCTTGTGTGACTCTAAGCTTCGCTTGGAAAATCACTATAGGAACAATCCTGATATTTTTTATGTTCAGAAACAAGAGCTCGAAACGTTGTAAGACACTGAAGATTTTAATCTCAAATAGTCCCACATTTACGAATTGTGTAAAAGTTTTCAGGAGAAAAATATTTATTATATTTATCTTCAGCTTTTAATAAAAAAAAATGGTTACTGCAAACATTTGCACAGACTTAATAAAGTGTCACCTTAAATATTTTCCCTTTATTTTTGATGTTCGGTTGTGTTAAAGATTTTCGACGCATTAATTTCTTTCTTATATAACGAGAAACGAACAGTCAGAATATTTGATAATCATGTTTCGCCAATTGTAAAAAGAACGGCAATAAATGTAAACACTAATCCCATCTGATAAGTCGAATTTAGAGTATGGCAAATAAATAACTAAAAACTGTATCAATGTTCAACTCTGGATGTGACAGTGCATAAAATCTTCATTCTTAACAACTTTTAACAATATGCGTCCGTTATATTTTGCGAAACAGAAGACTGACTGGCGATGAACAATGATTCAAATTCCGCTACACATTGCACTGCTTATTTCATGATAAAAACGAAAAAGAATATTATTCAAATTCTACTTAAAACCAAGGAATATAAGTTCTTAAATGTGCAGGAATATACTCATATATATATATATATATATATATATATATATATATATATATATATATTAGCAAATATAAATGATATAAATCCGACAGGATATAAATCCGAAAATATCTGGAAAACCAAACAAAAATCCTTAGAATGTGATTATGTTGTTTTAATTATGAATGAAATGTCGACGTCTGACGTTTCGGTTTAATAACCTTCTTCAGGACAATATTCATTAAAAATACAAGATACAAGAATTTACTAGTCTCCGCGTATTACTACAACGAACTGCTTTCCATCGGAATCAAATTTTATAAAATTTTAAGAATACGTTTTTAAAGCGTCGCCCATTTGACGACAACGTGACCACGCTCAAACGGAAAGCTGATCATTCAAAATTTTCTATCATCTGTTTTGGATAAGACTTGTTTTTTATGTCCATCGTTTTCGTCGAGTTGTACTGATTATGTTAATTGTATTGTATTTTTAATGAATATTATCATGAAGAAGGTAATTAAACCGAAACGTCAGACGTCGACATTTATCATTCATAATTAAACAACATAATCACATTCTAAGGATTTTTGTTTGGTTTTCCAGATATTTTTCTTATATATATATATATATATATATATATATATATATATATATATATATATGACTATATATATATATATATATACATTCATATTATGAAAATTAATAAACAAAACGAATAAATCCATACACACACACACACACATATATATATATATATAATATAACATATAATTCAACATTTAGAGGCGACAGTCTGTTTCATACTAGCATCTAGCATGAAACAGACTGTCGCCCCTAAGTGTTGACTTCTATATTCACTTTATATTTTACACGCTTATCTCTGATATTGAGCCTTTATCCCATAAATATAGTACATCTTAAGACTATATTTCTTCATATATATATATATATATATATATATATATATATATATATATATGCATATATATATGTGTATATATATATATATATATGCAAGGGTGTGTGTATATATATATATATATATACACACACAGACACATGAACACACACACACACAGATATATGAACACACACACAAATATATATATATTCCATTTGCGTGGCTATAGACAGTTACATGCTTGAACGCAATCTTCATGCCTACATATTTATACACATTTTATCCCTGATGCTGAGTACTTTTACTTATAAATATAACATAGTATAAAATTATATTGTATTTTATATATATATATATATATATATATATATATATATATATATATATATATATATATATATGTGTGTGTGTGTGTGTGTGTGTGTGTGTGTGTGTGTGTGTGTGGGGGGGTGCTTCCAAATTTGAGCAACTGTCTAAACGTTAACATTGTTTATTTTGAATGGCATCTTGTTTGTGAAAAGTACTTTCCATCATCCCACCACCATCTGTAGTCATTTGTCAAATTTAAGCATCTAGCTTGAGACAATAACTTGTCAGCAAGTATACGTTAAGGAGGAAGTAATTATTATCTTATAGTAGGATATAAAATGCATCAAGAAAAAAAAAGACCGGTGAATAGAAGAAATACCTAAGTAGAAGAAACGGAATGAAGAACACTGGCTTTAAGGGAAATTAAATATGATAGACATGGAACACTTATAAATTAAAAAACTGCCAAAAAATCATTTCGAATATATATATATATATATATATATATATATATATATATATATATATATATATATATATATATATATATATATATATATATAAAATAAAATGAATGCAAAATATCACTTTTCATACAAACTAAAGAAAAATTGTTGAACATTGTGTCTGAGGCCGCGTATACAATCCACGGCACAATCCAGATTTTCGATATTTCACCCACGCAACGATTTGGGAAGAAACAAAACGAAACGAAGAAAGATTCTAGGGCTCTGTATGAGAACATATAAAGACGTCGAACGTATAACACTTGGTGAATTTGGAAATGTGCCAAAACTAAAAGAAAAAAAATTACAGTCGAAATTGGATGAATTTAAATTTTGGGAAAGAACTAAGATTTTCCTGCAAACTGTTTCACTGCAATCTACGATCATCGTGAAAAAGATTTTGGAATGTGTAATTAGCTGTCACTCAATTTCTAGGCATCTGGTGTGAATAGGCAAATGCCTGCTAGAATACAGCTGAAATATTATGGAATCTTGTTGCAGGAAAAGCCATCAAGTGAAAACTCAGTAATAATAACGTTACAGATTTGAAAAAAAAAGTCTACCCAGAGAAGTGAACGAATATGGTCTTCTTCTCAGTCTGTGAAGATCCTTTGTTAGTCACAGTTCTTCCACAGATCTCACTATCTTTGGGTTGGTATAGCGATGCATGTTGGTAGGAGCGAACGTGACACACATGGGTGATCACGTCTCTTTTCAAATTCCTGATTGACGTGACAAAAGAATTCCCTTAGACTGCTATTTAATCCATAGCTAGGGAGAATAGATGGATTCATAGCTTTTTCAAGGTTATTTGTACGAAAAGTGAATGTGATCAACTCGAATGGAATTCGAACTCGGCTCTCCAATTTCTTATTCTGAGTCGTTATCCATCACGCCATGGTTACAGCACATGGGATTTACAAGAAGACACCCATCTAGTTACTGACCAAGCTCAACGTGGTTTAACTTTGGTGATCGGAGGAGAACCTGTGTTTAAACTTAATATGGTCGTAAGCTCGAACGAATATATAATCTGGATAAAAGAAAGTTCAAATTACAGGTGACTAAGATTAAAATTGCATAAAACCTTAGAAAAAGATGATTTTGACAGGTGACAATTAAGTGAAAAAATTGTCATAATTATGTGTTCCTTAGCCATAAAAATTACCTCGATATGAAGCGTTAAAACAAAAACTGGACAGGTAACAATCAGCAGATTACAGAAAATACAAAAACAAAGACGGAAAGAATAACAAGTTTACAAAAAATTCAGGTGACAGGTAAGAAAAAAGAATTGTGACAAAATTTAGTTAGTTGCACAAATTGCTCAATGATAAACCGTTTCGCTTGTTAATAGCAATTAAATTGATTTAGAATGAACAATGCTAGATAATTGATAAGGAACAAAAATTGGTATGGTACAAGAAAAAGTTAAAAGTGCGGCGAAAAATGGCTTAATTAATAACGCCTCCAAAATGAAACTAATATCTTTTACATTATTTACATTATTCGTAGTATTGCCCTCATCTTTGTTGCCATATTTCAGTAAAGGCTAATGGCAAATGAATACTGCCAGCCAAGTGTCGCCCGTGAAGATGTCACATTGTAAATTGTAAGATCAAGAGTCAATATTAAAAGCAAGGAGAGACAGGAGAAAATCGAGGCTGTCTTCTCGAATGAAAGACGAAACGATCATTTTATCAAAATGTCTCTGCTTATTGGTTTTATTAGGATGCTACTTTTGATTTTTCTTTCCTGATCTTTATTGATCTAATACTTTTTTTTATAAGCATGGTAATTTACATTATTCGGACTGTTGTCCTCCTCTTTGTTGCCATATTTATCACAACGTTTCGGCCGTTGTACGCTCCAGCCTTCTTCAGGTGGTTGGAATGTCGAACTGAATCCTTTATTTTGCTCGCTGGGGTAGACTGTTTTAGTACCACGTGACATGGATGTCAGTTATCAGTTATCTCCTGTTAATTCCACTCTCTAAGTTCTACAGTGCCTTAACCAGGTATTGAACTCATAACTCTTTGGGTCATGTCACTGGATCTAACTAACGCTTTTATCCACTGTGCCATGTTTCCTTAATTAAAATTTTAGATCAAATATATATTTCTTCCATCTATATTTCTGAGATGAAATATTATGTACACTATTTACATTATTTGGACTATTGTCCTCATCTTTGTTGCAATATTTATCACAACGTTTCGGCCGTTGTACGCTCCGGCCTTCTTTTGGTAGTTGGAATGTCGACTTAACCCTTTATTTCCCTCCCTGGGGTAAACTGTTCCTCAAGGATACATGGCATTGTGGATAAAGGCGTTGGTTAGATCCAGTGAAGAGTTTTTAGTTCAATACCAGGTTAAGGCAGTGGAGAACTTGACATACATTAAACATGGCACGTGGAACTAAGTCTACACAAACGAGCAAAATAAATGGTTCGGTTCGACATTCCAACCACCTGAAGAAGGGCGGAGCGTATAACGGCCGGAACGTTGTGATAAATTTAGAGAAAAATATTAGTACAATAGTCCGAATAATGTAAATAGTGTAAATAATACCTCATCTCAGAAATATAGATATATAATATTTTTAATCGTCATAGAGAAACATTTTTATCTTCCATCGGCACGGCTGATATTAACCATCGTCTGTGGAGTTCTCTTTCAGTCCGCTAGTTCCCTGCCACCTACGATTTTCAAAAATTTAAATAAAACGCCAATCGTTTTCTTCTGGATTCCTGAAACCTGTTCTTTTATTGTCCTTACTCCTTACTAAAGACTCCTCTTTCTCTTTCAAACTCAGCAATCACTTGCATTTTAGTGACATTATAGCCTTGCTTGGGATTCAATAATTAAAATAAAAAAAAATAAGGTGTTATACGTTAGAATTACGAAGCAAACCCTTTATTTATTCCACGAGGTAGATTGTTGTAATTTCATGTACCATGCCTTTTTTCGTGTGTGTGTGTGTGTGTGTGTGTGTGTGTGGTAGGGGAAGTAATTCAGTGTCAGTTAATTCTCCTTCTTATAATTCAATCCCCCAAATTTTGTTCACCCCCCCCCTTGCTGTGGACTTGGTATTGAACTCACAACTCTTTCGGTCAAGTCACTCGCTTGGGTCACTTAAACAGCACTTTTATCCACGGGGGAAAAAGCATCCGGTTCAAAATTCCAGTGTATACCACCTGAAAAAGGCCGGAGCGTACAACAATCGAAACGTCGTGAATATAACAATAAAAATGAGAACAAAAAAGTCACTTATGTAGAAAAAGAAAAGGAATAAGCCAACGCAATATTACTTTCTTAAGCAAATTGACTCAAGTGTGTGCATCCAAACATTGCAAATAATAATTAGTCAACAAAAGAGAACATGGCGGCTGCAGAATATTACTGTGTACGTTGTAAGTGATGGGACATCTGCAATTAATAATTGATAACCTATTGAAACTACTCTGATCAAAATAAAGTTATCTACTTGATAGTATTTAACACCTTATTTCAAACTCATAACTTCAGCTAGGAAACGTAGCATAGAATATACGAAATGAGAGGGTCGATAAAGTCATATCAATCCACAAGTTTCAAGATGTATGAAACGTATTCATAACATGTAGTTTAAATCTAACGAAGGCCAGACTCTATGGTGTACTTGGGAGTCAGCCGAATTTTCCTGCAATCTATCTTTGCCTACAACGATGGCGGTATGTTGGTTGAAGGCAACAACACCTCCAGGAAACATGGTTAGAATACGATTACTTCCACAAATACAGTATAAATCTACACTGCGTTTCATGGTGTAAACGTTTTGCAACAACATTAAACATGTCAATAGGGAATCCATTTTTCTCCTTTGATCAGAGTATAGAGTTTCGTGTGAAGCGTTTCCTCATTTACGACTACATATGACGATGAAGTCCTTAGGGACGAAACGCGTCACACAAAAAAAAATTTTCTCTTTGTCGTATATTTTCCAGACAATATATATATATATATATATATATATATATATATATAGTCCGAATAATGTAAATAGTGTACATAATACCTCATCTCAGAAATATAGACAGATACTGAGAGTCAATATCTTCAAGTCTGAAGTAGTATACTTAATATTGTGGTACTGTCATTCTCAACCAGTCTATCAATTTCCATTTCTAAAAAAAAAAACTCATCTAGAGGCTCTGCAAGGTTCTAATGCTGCAATGATTATTACAACTATTCTCATGTTCACAGGAGCTTGATATCTATTATTTTCGCCTTGTGGTTCGCATTACAATTGTAGAGAAGGTCTTTGTTCGTCTATAAGAAGGGTTTATTTCTGCTAAGACTTTGATAAAAGAAACATGTCAGTAAACATAGGAATACTACACAAAGACCTGGGATAAAAGAAATGAATACTAAAGATTTTGAAAAGGGAAAGAAATAAATGCAGAAAAAAAAAAACAAACAAAAAAAAACAATAAAGAAAAAAACAAACAAACAAAAGGAGCAGAAGGAGCGAGAAAACGTGAAAAAATGCATAAAGGGAGGTAACTAGAGACAAGCAGATTAAGATGGCGGAAAAGAAGCAATAAGAGAAATTAGTGACTGGAAGGAGGGCAAATAAAATAAACACTAAAAGAAAGAGAAAGACACAAATCTTCGACAAGATAGGAAAAAAGATCCATGATAGAATGATAGTAAGAAAAATACAAAGAATAAAAGCTGTGAAAATGGGAAAAAATCAATTTAAGGTACAAACAATAAAAAAAAAATGCAAGGAGGAATAAACAGAAGTAAATAAAAAAAAAGTAGAAATGAAAAAATGAAACAACGAGAACGGAAAATCTCATCCATCAAAAGAAAATCAGGGAAAAAAAAAAACAATTGAACAATAATATGGCGTTTGAAAATTTTCCAGAGTAGACGAAAGTTTCAACCAGATAAGTTTGCCCTTTGTAGATAGTCATAGTTTTAAAAGTAGAATAAAAGTGCGAAGACGTTAAGAAACTTGTAGATATAAGTTGTCTTTTAAGTCTCCAAATGAAGGCCGTCTTTCAGAGATAAGTTCAAAGAAAACATTTTTCTGGCTTCATCATATATTGGACTGTCTGTCTGTCTGTCTGTCTGTCTATCTATCTATCTATCTATCTATCTATCTATCTATCTCTCTCTCTATATATATTCATACAGACACCACACACACACACACACACACACACACACACACACACACACACACATATATATATATATGTGTGTGTATATATATATATATATATATATATATATACACACACACACACACACACACACACACACACACACACACACACATATATATATATATATATATATTAAAAAGAAGAGAGAAACCGCCTACGTTTTTGGTTGTAAAGTGGATTTTTAAAAAATATTATGCTTTATTATTATAAAAAATAAAGCATAATATTTTTTTAAATCTATTATTACAAAAAACGTTTGCGCGGTCTCTCTTTTTTTAATCTACACAAATTATCTCTCGTTGGAACTACTATACCTCTTCCTTTTTTATATATATATATATATATATATATATATATATATATATATATATCAGTATTATTGAGAGTTTGATACAATAGACTACTTAAAACAATCTTACACTACTTTTCAAATTCTATCTATCCCTGATTATTATCAATTTATCTATCTCAATCTGATTATCTATCTCCATCTGAATATTATCTATCTATCTATCTATCTATCTATCTATCTATCTATCTATCTATCTTTGCTTCCCCGTAACGTTTTTAACATTTGAAAAGATGTATAACATTCAATCTGTTTATCTATCTTTTTCGGCGGTATGTTGATGTACTTGTATAGTCTGTAACAAAACAATCCCTTTTATAACATAACAGTCACTACATGTAATTACAAAAAAATTGATCTATCATCTCATCTATCTATCTATCTATCTATCTATCTATCTATCTATCTATCTATCAGCCTAATTCGAGACTATTTTTTAAAATAGGAATC